TCATTGTATTGAGAGTTTTCGGTCGTTATTTCTTTCTTCGAAAAGAAAATTTCACTTTGACTATGGCTACTAAGATCGGGATTACAAACCTCAATATTTGTTAATAACTCATCACTTAAACCGCTGTTGGTCTTCTAATTGGTTCAATTTTATCGATAATTGTTGAATAATTACTATGATGTTGAGGTGATATGATTTTAGTCTGATTGTTATTTCTCAAATGTGACTGTTGTTGAGATTGTTGATAATTAAAAGAATTTTGTCTAACAAAATCGACTATATTATTTACTGATTTTCTTTCATCATTATTATTTTGAAAATTTCTATTATTTTCTCCTCTAATATGACTAATATCACCACCGTCCATCTCTTGATCATGTTCGATTGAATAAAATGTTTTATGCCGCCACATCCAAAACCAAAGAGCAATACCAATTAAAAATAGTATCGATGAACTTAATAAAAATATGGGTAAAAATAACGATTGAAAACGTTCAAATTCACGCGAAGATACCATTGAACGAGTATACGATTTAATAAATAAATTTGACTTTAATAAATTAGGATTTCTATCATTATTATCTTCCAAATGTAAACCACTTTGACTTAGTAACACATCTGAACAACAATATTTTAAAATATCCGAACCACAACAATATAATTGAATAGAATTTTTCATTGGACAATCAAATCCATTATGCCATGTTCCATGAATATCGACATAACCACCACAAATTGTGGATGGAGTAGTATTTGAAAGTGGAAATGTCATTATTGTCGTTGTTGCTCGAGCCATTTGATAAGTTTGTTCCAACAATAAACTGTACGTTTATGATACAATTCATTACCAATTAAAATTGACACATATTATTTGACGTAACAATTTATATTTTGGTTACACGACATATGTTTTGCTTACAGTATTAATAGTAGTAGTAGCATAGATAGATTATATGAAAAAAAGTCGAATAAACAAGAGAAAAGAGAGAAGAAAAGAAGACCTTCAATATGGTTTAGCTTTCTTCCATTCATTCATTGACTGTATCAAGTTTACAACTACGAAATAATTATAAGGGAATTGTTGTCTGATTACATTATTACAGATAGAAGAAGAAGAAGACATCTGCCCCATCAACAGAACAATCAATACGAGATGACAATAAATATGAGAAACAAAAAAGAATTCTTGTAATAAAATCATCTGTTTAGTTTGTTATATACATAAATTATAACAATACATTTTTTCTTCACTCGCATTTTCATCAGAAAACTATCGATCTAATGTAACGTAAAGAAGCAATAAACTAATAGATTAAAGATACGATCTTCTTGTGCTTCTTTATTTGCTAATAGATAGTTTGACACTGTTAATTAACTCCAGATTAGTTTCATTGAAAGTCTACCAAAGATTTCGACGAGATATGATGGATCCCTAATGATAAAAAATTTTCACATAGGCTTAAAAAATCTAAGATACGCTTCTCATCTCTCTACTAATTCCACCAAAGTTAATATAGTTTTTGTACCACTAAACCTTTTCCCAAACAAATTTCTGATATAAACAGCCAATGTGTCTGAAGTCAATCAGCACGGATGAAAGACAATACACCGAAAATATCATGTTGCACAATTAATCTTTTATTAGATTTACATATATTTCTCATAGCTTTTTAGTTAATAACCTGATTTAAAAGTAATATAATCCGGTAAAAAATGCTAAGGACTACACTTTGATCAAATATTTTTTCTCCAACATCATCTTTTAGGACTCCGAAATTTCAAGTTTAAGTGGAGAAAAAGTGACAAATTTTTAAAATCTTAATGTAAACAAAAATTCTTTTTCACTGTACCGTTTGAAGGAGCAGAGTAAACTACTACTACTAGAGTACTGACCACAATTATACGGACAAGGGTTCAGAGCCACTTGACTCTGTTTCCCTGACTAATATACAGGCTTGAATAAGGGAAAGTTTATGTGATTCTATGAACTCGCGTGTGCTCTATTCGAATATAAAATCAGATTTGTTCAATGGGCTGACAAGTTTGAGAAAAATATAGTTTTATTAAACACGGTCGATTTTTGCGTGAACACAATATGGAACATTGACTTTCGTCGAATAACTTAGAATTTTTCTTTTCCTCCTATATGTTACGGACAAAATTAGAATTCAGTTAAAGTCCGGACAGAACTGAAATTTTAATTTCGCCCGGACAAAAGTAGAAAAGCTAAAAAGTTATTATTTATCTAGATTTAATTGTTCATTATATTTCTACTACGTATCGAAATAAACGCACAATCTAAATAGTTCAGTCATAATCATTTAAATCTTCACAAAAATAATCTTCACAAAAATAATCTTCACAAAATTTTTTTATTTTATAATATCCTTGTAATCAAACAGTATGAATGGTTCATGGCACATTAATCTATTTACCTATACTTTTACAGCTTCTCGTTTACAATTACATTTTGTCGAACATATAAAACGCCTCATAAATTGGTTTTTTAGATTTAACACCACAAACAATATCAACACCAGCAATTTCCATCAAAACAAAGACATGTTTTATCCAATAAATAAATTTTGAAGGTACAAGTCTGATGTCTTCGGTAATAATAAACATTTAATAATATCGTCATAAACGTTTTGTTTAATTATACTTTTTCCGAAATTTTTCACTTACGACGGAAGGGCCCCAAGTGTTACTCTCACTTTTCAGTGGGACATATCCTAGTTTGTAGAGCTCGACAAGCTGATTACAAAGGCATAAAGCATTTTCCACCCATGGCTCTTGAAGACCCGTTTTTCTGGAAAATCAGTTTTTCAGAAACTCTAAAAAATGACCAAAACCTTTCTTAATGAGGCATAATTGTAGTGCGCATATTTCTGATTAAAATGAGATCTCCTAGCTCTACACGATCTTTCTTTGCAAAGTTATAGAATTTACAAGAAAAACCCTAAATTAATTTCTTCTTATTTCTGTAGCTTTGACCTGATAATGAACATTTAAGGTTTCTCTTGTAAATTCTATAACTTTGCAAAGAAAGATCGTGTAGAGCTGGGAGATGTCTCATTTTAATCAGAAAAATGCGCACTACAATTATTCCTCATTAAGAAAGGTTTTGATTACTTTTTAGAATTTCCGAAAAACTGGTTTTCCAGAAAGCTGGGTCTTCAGAAGCCATAGGGAAAAATGCTTTATGTCATCGTAATCAACTTGTCGAGCTCTACAAACCAAGATATGTCCCACTGAAAAGTGAGGGTTACACTTGGGGATCTCCCCTCGTTAATGAATTAATTCATATATTTCTCTAATTCTTCATAAAAAAGCGTAGCACTATTATTCAAGCGATGGTGTCATATTTTTCACGATATTGTAACGCTGATACATCTCTATATATACTGTTACTTGACATAACCAGCTATGGTTAGAATATTCTCTGCTTTTTTTCTGAGTTATTCAGCTTAACTTTGTTGCTGATAACTAAGTGCTTTATTGTACTGCTTAACTTAGAGCCCTGCACCAGAATTCTTTCGGGATGAAGTATTCTTGCAATAGATAACTGAGTTCGAATGCTAATTTTTTTATGAGTTGCACGTAAAAATCCGAGTGGTCGGATTTTTCCAATCCCGTTGACCTTGACTCTGACGTCGAACATAAACCAGGTTTGAAAAGATACTCTTTTGATAGAGAATTTGATTCGTGCAAATCGAAAAAAAATTTAGCATTCAAAGTCAATTATCTATTGCAAGAATACTTAATCTCGAAAAAATCCCGATGCAGGGCTCTACCTCTTGTTCTTCGTTCTATTTCAATACAATAGTCATCTATTCCTCTTAACAGTTTACCTCGTTCTATTCTACTTCTCCTTATTTGTAGCAATTTGTCACGTGGAATGAAGAAAAGATGAACGTTTCAAAAATTAAGAGGTCAAAGTAGATGTACAGCGAAGGCGAATGTATGTTCGTCATCCTTCGCTACACACTGTTGTTGTTATTAAACATGTATAGTACGTGGATGAATGAATTTATTTGTAGCCAAATTCTAATTTTCTCCGGACTCTAACTTTTTTCAACTTGATTTAAATGAGAAGTTTATTTCTGTCCGGACAATATTGAAACTCCAGTTTTGTCTGAAGAAACTCTGGTTAAAACTAGAATTCTACTTCTGTCCCGGCGAAGTCAGAATTTTAATTCTGTCCGAACAAAGTCGGAATTTGAGCGAATTCTAATTTTGCCCGTAAGTATATACAAGTCAATGAAACTTGATTAAAGGAAGCGACCATTTGTTTTAGGCTTAATACTAAAGATACTAGTGTGATCCGAAGATTGGCATCAGAAATGACACTAAGACCCAAAAAAGCAAAATGTGTCATAAACAATATTTTCGAGACAGCTAGTGAAAAATAAAACTTTTAGATGTAACATTCATCAAACGTTGCATTAACGATGAAAAAACAGTCTGTAGAAAAGACCGTAAACGGACCGTTTTTTGATCGTAAAACGGCCCGAGTTAAACGATGCAAAAACGGCCTTAACAACCTAAAAACGGGCCGTTACGCGATGTTTATGATCCATTAACTGGCAGTTAACGAACCCGTTTTCATGGACCTGGGCTGCTGCGTCACTTGTTTATCACTAGAACGCCCGTAGCTGCCATTTTGACCGTTTTATGATTTTTATCCTTAATAAAACAAACTGCATACAGTTTATTTAAAAATAAATTATGTCATAACTTTTAATTTTTCCCACAAAAATTATTTTTTGCAGAATTTTTAATTCATTTTTGGATTCAGAACCATTTTTAAGTATAAAATTTTTAAAAAAACCAGTAACGGTCATAATGACCGCTTTGGGCGTTCTAGGTCCTGAAAATTTCCGGGCGTTCTAGTGTTAAATAACGATAAATTTTTGTGTGTTATTGTTATATTCTCTTTGTGTTGTTAGATGTATGAGCATTGTCTGTAAGCCACTACTAGTAGAAATAGTTGAAAATAAAGGAAAATACACACATTTATCCAGGACTCGGCTCTACAATTTATCAGAGTCGGCGTTTCAATTTTTTCTGTTGCGCCGTGTCTCATTTTGACCAGAAAGGTTCCTCTACAAATCTACGTGTTAGAAAATATTTTAATTACATAAGAATCATAGAAAAAGACTAGAACTCAAATATTCTATTTTTCGAGGTTTCCAAAAAACTTCCTACGACATTATGGAAATTTATCTTTGAGGCAGAAAGCGATAGAAAGTCTGAAAGCAAACACTTTGAACTATCTAACAATGTATGAATCTTAAGATTGACGTTTATTAGGAAACTTGACTTTTTCGACAGGGGATGGGGCTGCAATCCTAATCAATTTTCGATAAGTACCACAATTCCTTCAAATGCCAAAACTATATTAAATCGACGTATTGAAATGATTGTGACAATATCCAACAAATGACTACAATTAACTTGAACATTAAACGAAAAGTTTTAAACAAACTAGCTAAAAATTACACCGTTTGATAGAGAATTTCCCGTCCTGTTTCCTCTACAAATAGCTAATCATTCGGACTTGATCTTGAGAACTTAATTAGAAATTATCGAGAATGAGAAGAAATAAAAAACTTTAATTTTAACTCCTGGGTTGTCAGTTACCACAAAAACAGCTCAACAACTCTTTTTATCATTCAAACAATCAATGTAAGACATCTGTGCTATTTAAACGCATTACAATGTGTTTGGGAACGCAAAACGAACGCTGTCAAACGCGTTCAGAGTTAAACA